GGCTCGCGTCCGAGCGTTCTTCTTGCCAACGGGCCCTAGGAGCCGAGTAAAAAATATTTTAAGTAATTTATATATTTTTTGATGGCATTCTTCATTTTTTCACGTGTATTTCTAAATTATTATATACGATTCTAGTTATTTTTTAACAAAAAATATGAGAATAATATGCACGATTGTATTAAATCATATTCGATACATAAAAAGTCACTAAAACGAAAAGGCAATTCCAATAAAAAAAATTAAAAACAAAACATTTTTGGATTAAAAATCCTTTGGTTTTTAGCTTTTAAGTGCTTTTAAGCATTTCAATATGAATTTTTATTGCAATAAAATACAAACATTTTTTGACAGGGTAGGAAATTCTTTCCTGACGATGTCCAGTGTTCACTTAAAAATTCATAAAACCGGATTTTATACCAACTCAATATTATTGCAATATTAAGATGAATGTTTCTTCTTTCAACTTCTACCAACGAGCTTTATTTTAAATTTTAATTTGAAATTTAAAAAGAAAAATGAAAGCAACAAAAATACTTATAACTAGGGCTGTGATTTATATGCAATAAAAACAGACAAATATGCACATACATATGTAAAATATTTGGTAAAAAATGCAATTTAAAACTGAAAATATGCGAAAACTACCATGGGGAAAAATAAGGAAACCTCAAATTAAAGGACATAATTGTATTGTAAAGAGAAACAGTGGCAAGAGGAACATCACATTGCTAATATTAACAAAGAAAAACGCATAAAAAAAAGTTTAATTTAAAAAATCCGTCGTCTGATCTATCGAGACCCAGATCTGTCCATTTTCGATTAAGTCTCTGATTTTTATGGAGTGTTTCATTGCAAACAAGATCCAGGTGAGATTTCCTGAGGGTGCGTTCGTGGGGGAATAGTTTTCCCTGTGTATATCTCCAAAAAAACCATTGAATTCAGGGTGGCTGAGTTTATGGATGGGTATGTTTATGTCAGCTCTAAAGCACGACAAAAATCGGTATCGAAACCGGACTTTTCAGACCCAGCTCTTGTGGCAGCTTGTGTCACAAAGGTTTGTTGAAACTTAGACTTCCTACCTCTATTTTTCTTGTGTTTTGCAGTCTTTATGTGCTGTGTTACGTGTAGCTGTTTATACAGGTTTATCACAACAAACACAGTATAAAACGTCTGTATAGCCCTTAAAAATTTCACTTGAAAACTCACGCATATACTTTTGAACAAGATCTTTCGTCTTTGCAGTGACTTTCGACATTTTAGGAGTAGTCAGTTCACAACACACGAATAATGTTTCACGATGGAAACGCATGAGAGACTGGGTAAAACTGAGAAGTATGATGGTAGGGAAAGAAGAGAACTGAGGTTGTAATATTTCTATTAAACTATTCCAAGAGAACATTTACAGTGGTACAAACACTATTCCTTTCTCTATTTATTCCAAGAGAAGCAATGGCGACTGAAAGTTTGCGGAATGCCGAGGACCAGCAACTGATCCCTCGTTCATTATGTGGAAACGGAAGAATGGGAGTACGTAGCTTCTTTTTCGGATAATTTTTCTTTTTGCCTGCTCAGAAACATTAAAATTTGGCGTGCCAAATACCGATATGCCGGATATGTAAAAAGATATGCAATTATAACCCACTTATACAAAAATATGCATTTATGGACCTATATACGCACAAATATGCAAAACAAATATAGCTTAAATTGATACTAAATGCTTCAAAACATATACAGTTTGTTAATATTGGATGTTTCAGTAAACCAGGAAAATTATGCAAATGCATATATTTCACAGCCCTAATCATCACCATCACTTCCTAGGAGATCTCGCGGCCATTGTCTCTTCGGCGGGGAGGGTTTGATGGGATTCGTCCGGATGCGAGATTTCTGATGTGCCGATTTATGGTAGTTGGAAGGTTTTTATGAAATTTACGGTAACGGGAATTGATTTCATCTTGAACGAAAGGGATATGTAAGTCTGTATGTGTAGTTTGGTTCGATACATAAAATGGTGCATCTAGTATTTTCCGGAGTATTAAGGACTGAGCAGTTTGCTGGATGTTGGAATGTTTGGCTGAACCGCACACTCCAGTCCGTAAGCCCATACCGGCTTAACTATGGTGTTGTAAAGCAACCTTTTATTTCTGAGAGATAAATTAGAACGTTTGTCAAGAAGTCGTGCAAGAGCTCTATGTGTCATAACCTCCTGACGTTTCCGTCGTGTGTGAGGATTCCACGTCAGGCGTTTGTCGATGTACAGTCCGAGGTACCGCACCTTGTCCGCAGTTGGGAAAGGAATATTATTTAAGAAAACAGTGGGGAGATCTTTTTACGAAGAGTTAAAGTAATGTGAGTGGATTTGTCTATGTTAAATTTTTCCTTTTCTTTTTACACCAAGGATCTAGTAGTATGAGGTGTTGTTGGTCAATTACAAGGTCAGAGTTGCTAGAGAGAATTGCTGTATCGTCTGCAAATGTGAATGTGTTGGTTTCGGGTTGTGATGTTATAGAAATAATAAAGAAAATATTCAATTCAGTACGGAGTGTTTTCTCCTCTTGGGTTGATCACTCCTTCATACCAGTCAGCCACTGTCCTAGCTACATAGTATAACCATAGACTGGACCATAGGAACTGGAAAATGTATATTCTAGAAAGATTGACAACAAAAATGGCTATACGAACATGATGCCCCACTTGAAAATGGAACAATCTGCTCAAGTGGAAAATGATCTAGGCGAATAATTACAGACAAAATGCTTTGAACTCTACAGAAACGGTAGCCGCAAAAATGATGGAATTATAGTCGATTGAAGAGGCTTTAAGGTGGTTTTTAAACTACTAAAAAACATTGATGTTAAAAACAAATAGTGGAATCTCCTGATGAGTGATTGAGGACCACACAAAACTCTACCCAACGGTGGAATCGATCCAAAGCTTTGCGGGAGCTGAGGAAAAATCGGCATTGGATAACTAAGACGGATCAAAGCACACGTGGCACACCAAGGAAATAAAAATGGTGAGTTGACAAAAGATGCGGCAAAAAAGGTAGCCATTACATATGACAGAGTACCTCTATCATATAGTAGAGTGCAGGAAGTAAATTCGTGGATGGGCAAATGGAATGAAATATGGATAAAAGCAAATGAAGGCTAAACTGCAAGAAGATATTTTCGATCCATTAATGACAGGAGGCATACTTTCAGCCTGCAATGAAGAGGCGGACAGCCTGGCCAAAGAAGGATCAAATACCGCGTTTGTCGAGCCACAACCGGTATTACCCCACTCTATAAGCATAGCGAAAGAGAGTATTAATTGCTGGGGCATGAAACAATTCCTGAAAGAATGGAATCTGTCCCCCGGACATAGGAAATCGAAGGAGTTTCTGAAGGAAATCAAACCACCGGGGGACCGCGGTAGCCGAGTGGTTAGAATGAGAGACTCTCACGCCGCGGTCGTGGGTTCGATTCCCACCGTCGCCTCTGGCCCTTTTTTCACGATAACCCCCCCCCCAATTTGAACACATAAAAATTGTCACATGGCTAATTATGCATAGATCATAACGCCAAAAAAAAAAAAGAAGCGAAATGGTTATTCTCTAACTCAAGGAGGGGAATTAGGAGGCTGATAGGTATCCTAACGGGCATTGCCCCTTGAGAAGACACCTCTGCATAATGGGTATCCTACCAGACCCCTTTTGCCGCTTCTGTGAAACAAAAGAAGAAACGGCTCGACACTACCTCGCAGAATGTGATAGGTATGCCAGGGATAGATTTGAAACTTTTGAAGGAGAGGACATTGACAAATCACTCCCCAAGATAAAATGGTCCAAAATCTTGGGGTTTGTAAACAGGTCCAAGAGGTTTATGCAGGACTCGTGAGCCGACCAAGTCCCGGACCTTTTAGGGATGGGGTACGGGCCTACCTAGGCTTTTAACCCCTCGGGTCTTGGTCGCCCACCCTGCATAATATATATACTTTTAGCCTTTATTTTAATGGTTTATTGGTGGTTGATGCAGAGTACAATTCTTTCCACCTCAGTGACCTAAACAGGTCTATTGTGGAACCCTACAGCTTACGGCCATACTTTGGAAAGTGCGCTATTCCTTGGTGCCTCATCGTGGATTTCTTTGGGTATAAGAAATGTTCTACCGATGTGGCTGTTTAATAGTACATCCGCAAAGGATATTTGGCGATGTCTCTGCTTCCTCCTGGCAGAGCCGGCATTTTTCCGTTTCAGCCTTGCCCGTCTTCTTAAGGTGATAGTTAAGAGATTCCTGCCTGTTGAGAGAGAAGAGTTCTTGCCTTCAGTTTTGAGATGTTCAGTTTTCCACCTTAAGAACACATGCTCACGCTAATAAATACATCTTATACAAATGTCTAATTGTACACAGAAAATAATTTCTGTTTTCTGTTCAGGTCTCACTGCGCTCGTTAAGTTTAATTTAATTTTTAATTAGTATCAAATGTCATTGCCATTCTTAATGGTGGCATCGGATTTGAATTCAACTAACGCTTTCTCGAATTGTGCATCGAAAAATGAGTTGTGAAAAAAAACCCTATGTGTATAGTACTATAATTCTTATCTAAAATGGATGGATCTAAAATAAGGATAAAATTTTATGATTTTGTAATCTCTTGTTTGATGATAGTGGTTTTAGCCCATTCTATAGTAATAAAGACTCGTTAACACTTTACCACCCGTATTTTTGTAATATATTTTCCTTAGCTTTCGGACATGACGAAAATAAAGGGGTAAGGGGGCAGAGTGTTAATTTATACCTCCGAGTGCGCTGTAATGGCTCATGACCGGATCGGCCGTGGAGGGTGCCATTTGCCAAAACGCCATTTAAAAAAAAAAAAAAAACGGGGCCGACGAAATTCCCGGCAATTACGATCGTTCCTCACTCCAGACACGCTTCTAATTCAGCGGGATCAAACGAAAATAGAAGAGGGAAAAAGTCGGTCTTGTAATTGGGGCCAGTTGGCGGAGTCAAGGAAATGACATAAGTCCGAGGAGCAGTCTCCGGATTGGGCGTGGGAGGGAAACAAGTAGTGGGGAATCGTGAAGAATCAAACGGCCCCTCAGGATTTTCTGCCTTTTTATTATTTCATTGTTCTCTTCATCATTCATCCAGTACAGTCTTCCTCGAGGACGGTCTCGGCGTTCTTTTGCCCCTAGAAGCTAAAAGGGACGCCTTCTGGGAAAGTTTCACTCCGTCTCTGGAACTCAATATTTTTCTTAGGCCCTACCAGGTAGGTCTTCCTTTGGGAATCATAAAAAATCGTTTTTAAAACACAACAACCAATAAATCTATCAAATCAAATTTCGAATAGAAACACAAACCGCATTTACCGCCTCATACAAGATCGCAATACCGTTCGCAACATTTGTTTATGTGTCAACCTTACAAATATAATCGATTTCCCTTAATTTTTGCTGTTATTTTATTAAGTTAAAAAAAAATCATTATAAAAACAGGTAGAGACGTTTTTAAACAAATACTAGCAATTTTTTGTCTAGAAAAAGATTTTTAGGGAACATTTTTGACTTTGCAGAAAATAAAAATTTTTACATTTCAATAACAGATAATAAGTAAAGAAGTCTATACATTAAAATTAATAATTATAAATTATAAACGTAAAAAATGCCAATATTTAACATCCATTTTTATTTATTTAATTTATTTTGTTTCCAATAGTTTTTTGGTTGGCAAAAAAAAAAAAAAACAATATTCTAAACTAAATAAAGGCTTGCAAAATCAGTATAAACACATTAGTAGTAAAAAAATGTAAGTAGTCAAAAAATTAAAAATGGTCATAATAAATTAATATACATTTGACAAAAAAAATTTCTGAAAGTTGAACCAATGCAACATGTAATAGAAATCTATAGCTTTGAAAAAAAATTAAAAACTGATCTTTATAAATCAATTTCCATTTGACAAAAAAAACCTTCCTAGGGTTGAACCAAGCAACGTATAATATAAAGCTATAGCTTTGAAAAAAATTAAAAATGACCGTAATAATTAATTTTACATTTGACAAAAAACATTCTAAATGTTGAACCAAAGCAACATGTAATAGAAAGCTATAGCTTTGAAAAAATTAAAAACTGATCTTTATAAATCAATTTACATTTGACAAAAAACATTCTAAAAATTATATCAAAGCAACCTATAATAGAAATCTATAGCTTTGAAAAAAATTAAAAACTGATCCTTATAAATTAATTTTTGGATTCTAGAGGAGCGGTCTAGAATGAAGTAGTTTAGAAAAAAAACCTTTTCAATTTTTTGCCGACGTTTCGAACTTTATTCGGGTCATCTTCAAGGCATAAAGTGTAGTGCCATTCTTGAGGTGTCATATCGGTGTTGTGTGAAATAATTGTACCACTCACTAAAAAAAAAACACAATTATAAATCAATTTATATTTGACAAAAAAAATTTCTAAATATGGAACCAAAGCAACCTATAATAGAATTCTATAGCTTTGAAAATAATTAAAAACTGATCCTTATAAATTAATTTTTTGGATTCTAGAGGAGCGGTCAAGAATGAAGTAGTTTAGAAAAAAAAACCTTTTCCATTTTTTTTCCGACGTTTCGAACTTTATTCGGGTCATCTTCAAGGCATAAAGTGTAGTGCCATTCTTGTGGTGTCATATCGGTGTTGTGTGAAATAGTTGTACCACTCACTAAAAAAAACACAATTGTAAATTAATTTATATTTGACAAAAAAAAAATTCTAAATATGGAACCAAAGCAACCTATAATAGAATTCTATAGCTTTGAAAAAAATTAAAAACTGATCCTTATAAATTAATTTTTTGGATTCTGACAAAACAAAAAACATCCTAAAAGTTGAATCAAAGTAAGCTGTAATAAATATATATTTAAGAAATTTGATTTTTACACCCTTAAAGGCAAAAAATGCGTAATTTCGTTATTTGGACCAAAATACAAATAATTTCGCTGATTGTCAGAACAATCACTTGAAGATTGTCGAGGCTCAGTAAGTTTGGTTGTTATCCAAAGGATCACATCAAAATTATCAAAATAAAATGAAGACGAATAACATTACTAAAAATTTGACCTAACAAATACCGATTGATCATTTTTTAATAAAAATTAAACAATGTACAAAAATATGTGTATGCGTGCGCGCGCGTGTATGGACAGGTTTGAACAAGTCCGATGCCAAAACTTTTGAGTGAGTGGTAATTAATTGCTTGTGGTTGTTTTTATTGGCTTGTCAGGTAGGTCAATATGAAATCCTTTCTCGGCTAAGCCACTGGAATGGAAGGAATGACGGCTCCAACTGGTTCGAGTCGGATGTGGCGCACCTCAATTTTATGATTGAAAGTCGATCACACCTTTTAATGTCGTTCCATTAGCGTGTCAAATGGCCTGGACACTCATGCGTGCCGCGTTGGAAATGAGGGGATGCGTCCCGAATAAGATAACGTCGATCTTAATTAATCTTAAGTTTATGTTAAAAAATACAAAAGTTTTATTTTTACTTCATGATTTTGAAAGTTTTGTCGGTATTTTACATCGGGATTTGTTACAAGTCCAAAAGGTCTTTTTAGTCTTCCTTTTTTCTAAAAAAGGCGCTTCTTCTCGGACGAATAAAGTCATTTTCGTTTGAAGCAGTTGTAGAACAAGCTTGTGAAAAAATCTCAAGTAAATGAAAGCTGAAAGTTAAAAGTTGTTCATCCTGCAAGCAGGAGGGGATATGTGTCTAGTTATAGCACAGATTGTCGTTTTGATTTGACTGTGCTGTTCATTCGTTTACGTGAAAAGAAATCAAGGTGGACGCGATCAAAAAGGTTTTTAACGCTGGCGAAGCATTTTAAATTAACCATTCGTTTTACTTACTTAAAGATGACCACACTGGCCACAGTTTATATTGTTTCGAGAAGCTGTTTTTTTTAAATGCCCTAAAATTAACATTTAATTTATGAAAATCTTCCCGCTTAAAAGATCGTATTTTTATTTAGTATTATATTTGTATAAAAAAAGGAAAAAGAAATATGAATATCGTAACGTGAACAGTCTTTAAAAATCATCGCTCCATTGTTTTGAACAGATTTTGCCCCTTAGCGTGTCATGATCCGCCTAGCCTCGCTGCTTGTCATGGCCAGAGGCCTGTTGAACGCACGCCAAAATACACAAAACTACGGCCAGGCGGACGACGCGAAATGATTAACAGGCTGATATTAATTTCATTAATCGTAGACGGAAATGGTATTCCTAAAAATCATCAACGGAAACTAAGTCAGATGCAAATCCTGGAGAGATTTTGATATCGAATTAAATAAAACGTTTATATTATATTATTTATTACATAATGGATTTATATATATATATATATATATATATATATATATACCGTGTGAGTTTTTATAAAAGCCATGGCCTTTTATTTTTACGCTGCCTATTTTATTGTAAAACAGTACTGTTTCAAAGGTAATTTTTAACTTTGAATCTGTTATGTCCTATTTTTTCCACAGTTTAAAAGTCCTTTTTATTCTAAAAAAATGATAGGGAAACACAGAAGATATGTGTCAAAAAAAGCGATCCTGAAAAATTCATAGATTCATTAGGAATATATATTTCGATTTTTTTCTGAAGGAAAACTTCAATATCCCCAGAATGAATCGATAAATTTTTGAGAATGAATTTTTTCACGCATATTTAGCCCTTTCATTATAAAAAAACGATACTAGAAACTCAAATCGTTTGAGATATTTTCGAAGAAAATACTTAATATCCCAGAACGAATTTTGAAAGCGCTTTTCTTTGTAAAAAGATGATACTAGAAACTCAAAAATATATAAATTTTTTCTGAAGGAAAACTTCAATATCCCCAGAATGAATCGATGAATTTTTGAGAATGACTTTTTTCCACGCATATTTAGCCCTTTCATTATAAAAAAAATGATACTAGAAACTCAAAATTTTTTAAATATTTTCGAAAAAAATACTTAATATCCCAGAACGAATTTTGAAAGCGCTTTTCTTTGTAAAAAGATGATATTAGAAACTCAAAAATATATCAATTTTTTTAAGAAGACCGTCAATATTCTCAGAGCGAATCCATGAATTTTTAAGGATGACTTTATTTAATACATTTTAAAAGTCCTTTCCATTCTAAAAATAATGGCACAAGAAATTTAAAAAAATTGTCGATGTGTTCTGAAAATATTTTAGTCTTCAGAGCTCGATAATTTTAACTTATCGTCTTTTTGATTTTTTCCATTGTAAAAAAATGATACCAGAATCTCAAAAATATATCGATTTTTCCTGAAGGAGAACATCAATCATCAGAACGAATCTATGAATTTTTAAGGATGAATCGATGAATTTAATACATTTTAAAAGTCCCTTTCATTCTAAAACCAATGGCACAAGAAATTAAAAAAAAAAATGTCGATTTGTTCTTAAGATATTTTAGTTTTCAGGATTCGATAATTTTATTGATTTATCGTATTTTTGATTAAAGTTATGTTGAAATAAATAATCACAATTTAAATTTTAATATTTTATTCAGCTAAATTTTCAAATTTCCTTTTTTTTAACTGGTTACACGATAAATTGAAATCATCGAGTTCTGAAGGAAAAAACAAAATCTCAAGACTAAATTGTTGAATTTTTCAGAAAGAATTGTTTTCACATTTTTTGAAAGCGCTTTCTTTTGTAAAAATATGATACCAGAAATTCAAAAATATATAGGTTTTTCTGAAGGAGAATATCAATATACTCAGAACGAATCCACCAATATTTAAGGATGACCCTATTTTAGACATTTTAAAAGTCCTTTCCATTCTAAAAACAATGGCAGAAGAAATTGAAAAAATTGTCCATTTGTTCTGAAAATATTTTAATTTTCAGAATTCGATAATTTTATCGATTTATTGTATTTTTGATTAAAGTTATGTTGAAACATATCATCACAATTTAAATTTTAATATTTTATTTAGTGAAATTTTCAAATTTCCTTTTTTTTAAGTGGGTACAAGATAAATTAAAATTATCAAGTTCTGAAGGAAAACAATATCTCAAGAACAAATTGTTGAATTTTTGAGTATGTATTTAGGAAGCTGCCCACATTTCCAAGAGTAGAACTACATGATGGTTTACTCCCTTTTTAATTCTTAAACCCGAAGATGAGGCTTAAAATATAAATATATAACAATATTTCGATCATTTTATTATAAGAATATTTACAAAATGAACGATTTTTACTCAATT